TATCTGCAAGTACTAGTTTATCTGACTAGTGATGACTTAAACTATACTCTTATTTTTTTTCCCCAACATTTTTTAAAAATTTATTTTTTTGGAATGGTTAGTACATTCACACGGCTGAAAAGTCAGGAATTATTTTTGAAAAATATGCAGTGAAATGCTTCCCTCCCACCTTTGTTCCCGTCTGTCCTAGTGCTCAGTGTTCAGTGCCCTATAGGTTCTTCTCAGCCTTCTTTAGACACAGAGACGCTTAGAATGTATATTCTTGTATCTTCCATACTCTCTTTCAGCAGATGGTCACATTTCATACATATTGTTCATTTTTTTTTTTGATGAAGTAAACAGTCTTGGAGAGCTTTCCCTATCAGTATATAGAGAACATCCTTGTTAAAAACAAACAAAAACTAATATCTGTGTTGACAGACACAGTCATTGTACCGCTTAACGACAGGGACGTGTTCTGAGAAAGATGCCGTTAGGCAACTTCATCGTGCGAGCCTCGCAGAGCGCACAGCAAGTCCCCGTGTGCCATCTTCGGTGGGTCCTGGGACTTGAAATGAAACAACACGCAGTGAAGCCAGTCTTGCCACAGGCTAACTGATATAAACAGGAGTTCAGTCCCTGTGACATATCATCCACGCAGTGACAGAACAGGCTGATTTGAGGACCTGCTATATTGACACAAACCTGAACGGTCCAGCCCTCTGCTACTGTCGCTGTACCTGTTACCTTTGACACACAGCCGGCAGCGCAGCGGGTTTGTTTACGGCGGCATCCGCACCAACCCGTGCGTGCCGCGTTGCCCTGCAGCAGCGCGGTGGCGACGATGTCACCAACCACATTGCATTCCTCCCTTTCCGCAGGCCCCTCCCAGCGGCCCCTCCCCTACCTTCTGTCTCTGCGGTTTGTCTCTCCTGGACATTTCAAAAAAAAAGGAGCCCTCCAACGGGTGGCCTGTTGTGCCTGCCTTTCGCTCAGCGTCACTGTGTCACAGTTTGTCCTGTTGTCCCACGGTCCCTCAGTACGGCGTCCCTATCGGTGGCCAAAGAATGAATGGCCCCACTGTATGGATATACCGCACCCACTGATGGACATTTGGGTTATCTCAGCTTTTTGGCTCTTATGGGTGTGCAGCTGTGCACACCGGCATGCAAATTTTTGTGTGGACAAATGTTTTCATTTCTCGTGGGTGTGTATGTAGGAGTGAAATAGCTGGGTCGCACGGTGGCTCTGTTTTTAACTGTTCGAGGAGCTGCCCAGACTCTTCCACAGCAGCCACACCATCGTACATGCCCGCCGACAGCACGGGCGGGTCCTGATGTCGCCCCGTCCTCGTCAGCCACTTGTCACCGCCTTTTTACTCACAGCCACCCCAGTGGGTGTGAAGAGGTGTTTCATTGTGGTTCGATGCATTTCCCTACTGGCCGAGGACGCTGAGCGTCTCTTCACATGCTTAGTGGCTGTTTGTACACCATTCTTTTCCACAACTGCATATTATTCCCTTGGGGGACTGGCTATCGTTTCTTTAACCTGTTTTCTACAGGTGGCCCGTGGGTCATTTCCAGTATCTTGCTGTTAAACACATCACCATAAAAGCTTCTGAGTGTTTGATTCTGGATGTGTCGGGTTGTAACCGTAGGATACATTCCTACAAGTGAAATCGCAGAGGAAGGGGTTAAGTGCATGGTCATCTTGAAAGTCATAGCCCTAGACAGTCAATTCTCAGTATCGGCACAGTTGGGGGCCACATGTGCGAACTCGCCTGCCTGCTAAAAGTTCTTTGTGATCCCCAGATCTGCCCTTGCTTTGTACACCCCAAGTGGCAGCGCTGTCCTGGTCGCTTGCAGGTGGGGGCCCTCTGCGCCCGTTCCCGGCTGAGGTCTGGCGGCGCTGGGCCTTCTCATTCCAGCTCTCACGCCGTGAACAAGGATCTTTGTTCGGTTTATTTAGTGCCATGTTTTCCACATTTTTATGGGGTTTTTTTTTTTGGTGGTGATTTAGCTGTTTGAAATGCCTCTCAAGTACAATGCTGAAGTGCTGGCTAGGCCTCCGAAGCTCAAGAAGGTTCTCATGTGCCTCACAGAGGAAATATGTGTGTTCGAGAAACTTCTTCAGGTGTGACTCACAGTGCTGTTGGCCAAGAGTTCAGTGCGAACCAATCAGCAACATATATTAAATAAGGTGTCTTTAAACAGAGACACACATAAAACACAGTGGCGTATCGATCAGTTGATGAAAATGTTGTGACCAGAGGCTCACAGGAACCTGGGTTTTCCCCTGGATCAATACAGTTCATTAGTCCCTAATCCAGGGTTTGTGGAACTTCACAGAACACAACTGCTGCGAGTAACAAGGATTGATCACGTAAGCTCTTCTTTCTTTCGTGCGCGCTAGCTGTGCTTTACTGAGGTTTTGTAGAACTACGTGCAATGAAATGCATGGATTTTAAGTGCACAGCTTGATGAATTTGACACACGTTACCTGTGTAACAGTCACCCAGACGCTGCTGCAGAGCATCTCGTTCAGCTCCGACTGCCCTGGCTCAGAGGGCTGGGCGTCGCCCTCCAACTGGAACGGTCGCCAGTTCCACCGGGGTCCCGGCACAGGCCTGCGTTATGGGCCAGGCCCCCGGTTGCGGGGGTGTGAGAGGCAGCTGATCGATGTTTCTCTCGCACATCCAAGTTCCTCTCCTTTTTTTCCCTTCTCTTTAAAAAATAAATAAATAAAATCTTAAAAAGAAAAGAAAAGAAAAAGAAAACATTTCCATCATCCCAGAAGACTTCTTCGTGGACCTTCCTAGTCAGTGCCGGTTCCAGCTTCTCCTTTCCGCCCGCCTCCTTCGACAGCAGTACCTCTGCTTCTTTCCCATCAGTTTCACTAGACCTTTACTTAAAGGGGACCACACAGTGGGTATAGTCTTTTTCTGTCTAGTTCCCTTTGCTCCTCATGACTCCTTTCAGATTCATCTTGCCTGTTACACGTATCGGTAGTGTATCCCCTTTTATTGTTAAGCTGGGTTCCCCTGTGTGGCTAGAACTCGGTTTGTTTATCCATTTCCCATCAATGGACACCCGTCCTGTTTCCAGTTTGGAGCTGTTGTGAGCAAGGCTGCCATGGAAGTGTTTGTACAAATGTTTTTGTGGACATACTTTTCACTTCGGTTAAGTAAACACCTCGGAGTGGAATAGCTGGGTCACGGAGTGAGGTATGCGGTTAACCTTTGTTAAACCAGGCTTTTAAGTCTTTTCTGGAACAAGACTTTCTAGCAGAAGGCCCCTCCAGGGATGCCTGGCAGCTCAGTGTTGCTGAGCCGCGAGGTCTCTTCCTCTCTCGACCTTCGCCTCGGGACTCCAAAATGACTGTTGTAGCACCGGCCATTGTCGTCAGGCTTCCCCTCCGTCTTTCAAGCAGAAAGAGGGAGCAGGGACAAATAATCTTCCTGAATTAAGGCTCTGTCTTTCTGTCCAATATAAAAGTCATTCCCATGTCCACACTTGGCAGCAAAAGAGGCTGAGAAAGACATTTCTGGCAAATAAGCAAAGGCCTACGCTCGTGATTCATCCTCTTGGGAGGGTATGTTGACGAATGAAGTCAGTCCAAGTTCTGTTTATTAGGACGTCAGTCTGGGAATGGCTGTCGGACCCGCCTGAGCCTTGGAGAGGACCCTCTGGGGCCGCTTTGTCAGGAACCTGGACGCTGGCTGGGAACTGGTGGCTTGTGTTTGATACGGGAGCGAGAGCCCCAGAAAGAAGACTAGAGATGGAAGCTTCCAGAGCAGCAGTTCTCCAGGTGCGGCCCCTGGACCAGCAGCTTCAGCTCCACCTGGGAACTTGTTAGAAATGCACATTCTCTGGCGCCACCCCAGACCTGCTGATTCTGAGTCCCAGTCTTTATTTTTTTTTTATTTACTTTTTAAAAGATTATTTATTTACTTAGAGGAGGAGAGGGAGAAAGCGAGGGAGAGAAACATTGATCTACGGCCTCCCGCACACGCCTCCACCGTGAGGGCACCGGCAGCCCAGGCACGTGCCCTGACTGGGAATCGAACTGGTGACCTTTCGCTTTGTGGATTGACCCTCAACCAACTGAGCCACACCCGTCCGGGCCCAGTCTTTACTGTAAAAGCCTTCCAGGTGATTCTGGCTCACGTTGAGGAATGAGAGGCCTAAGGCGTCTGTGGGATGTTGGCGGGGCTTTTGCTTCCCCTTTGCCCCTCTTCCTTCCATTCCCCCCCACCCCGCACCCCCTTGAAGTTTTCTCTGTTGCCTGAGGCCTCGAAGGCCCAGGGTGCAGTCAGCGGAACCCCTCCTTTTGTCCCCTTCTCTCCAACCCTTGCCTGTTTTCAGTCTTTCTCAGAGTTTCCCTGGCTTTTATAAACTAGTATTAAGCAAAAAATCGAAAACCTCTTGTGGTACCTGATTTTCTCGGCAGGCCTGCAGCTCTGTGGCTGTGTTTAGAATACCCGCGAATGGCAGAAAGGGGAAAGAAAGGACGCACAGAACACTTCCAGTGTGTAACCAACTACCTGTATGAACGGGGCTTTTAGGAGCTTTTAGGAGCACAAAAGACACCAGGCCTTTTAGGAGCAATCCCTGGTTTACAGGGCGCGCTTTTGCACTGTTACACTAACTCAACGAAGGCAGAACTCTAAAGGTCACTCAGAAGAAAGATGGTGTAGATTTTAATTGCTCTTCAACTTGCTCTTTGTCTTCCTTCCCCTTAAAGGGCTGGGAGCAGGCCAGGAATCAACATTTTTTCCCTGTTTTCCTTTTTGGGCTTTGAAATAGACACAGCACGGGAGCAGCTCCGCAGCAGGGCCCCGCTGGCTCTGACTGGGCTTTTGCCGGAATTTCACCAGGTGCCGCCTCCGGGAGGGTCCGGCCCCGCGTGCCTCCCTTGTGCCAATTAGGAGATGGGGTCCTCTCCCCTCCAGGTGGACGTCGCCCTTCCGTGGGCCTCCCTGGTGTCAGCAGAACCTCGGCTGCATGTGTCCCCGTGTCTGGGATCCTTTGCACAGCAAACGACCTGGACAGCTGTGCGTGGCGCTTGGTAGATACGTCACACGCCTGTTACGTACCCGGTGCAGATGATGTCTCCTGAGCTTGCATCCTGCAGTAGTTTCTTGTGGCTGCCTTAACAAGCACAACTACCATGGGGGCTTAAAATAATAGAAATGGATCCTCGGTCTGGAGGCACAAGTCCGAAAGCCAGGCGCGGTGGGTGGCCGCAGCGGTCCTGTGCTTGCGGCCGCCTGCTTCTGATCTCTGCTTCTGCCTTCACTGCTTTGCCCTCTGTGTCTTCCCTTCTGTTAAAAGGTCTTTGACTGTAGGGCTCACCCGGCTACCTTAAAGTGATCTCATTTCAAGATCCTTAATTACATCTGCAAAGATTTCCCCCCGGTCCCCAAATAAGGAAGGCCACATTCAGGTTCTGGGTCGTGGACATACCTTTCTGAGAGGCCACCATTCAAGGCACCACAGACCTGAGAAATAAACACACCATCATAGCATAACTTGCAGGCACTCTGGCACATTGAGTCCAGCCCACAGCCTCTCACCCGACCTGCCCGCCTGGCCAAGCTGTGTGGGAAGGGCACTGACTTCCCTAGGGCACTTTCGGACAGTGTGAGGGAAGAGGGCCCAAGGGTGTTATCGGAGGACGGTGGGACCTGTAAGGGCGCTGCAGAAGGTCACTGGTCGGGGTTTGGCGGAGGGCTAGCCAGGCTGGCCCCACTGTGTGGTTCCCACGAACTCGGGAACCTTTCGGCCTGGGTTCAAATCCCGGCTCTGCCAGTCCGCTAACTGGTGACCTCAGTCAACGTGCCGAATCCTTTTCTCGGCCACGGTTTCCTCCTCTGTGAAATGAGCTTGAGAGGAGTGGCACCGGCCACATAGGGCTGTCATGAGAATGAAATGAAATAGGAGGAAGCACTTAGAACGGCACCCGGCACTGGTGTGCTTGGCAAACCTTGGCTATGATGGCGAAGATGACGAAGCAGGAAGTGGTGGCAGCCGTGGGGGAAGGGCCCAGACCTTCACCGCCTCAAACGCCGGGCCTTCCCAGCTCCAGCCATCTGTTGGGGGGGCTCCCGGGCGGGGTTGGCCCTGCGCTTGGGCAGGTCAGCTGGTGGCCGGCGAGGAAATGGGTTAGCACAGAGGAGCCAAGACCACAGGGGGCCTGGTGGGCTTTGTGAGGTCTTTTGTGTGAGTCAGGATCGATGTGCTTACTGGCGGACTTGAGCTCCAGGAGGGTGTGGCCATGCCTGCCCACCGGAGCCTTGGTGCCCAGCGCAGCACAGTAATACAGGAGGTGCGGCGTGACCCCCGCGAGTCGGTGGGCAAATGGGTGCGTGCTGCGGAGATGACATTTAAACTTCGTGTAGGTTTTATTTTTATTTATTTATTTTAAAGATTTAAAAAAGATTTTTAAAGATCTTATTTATTTATTTTTTAGAGAGAGGGGAAGGGAGGGAGAAAGGAGAGAAACATCAGTGCGTGGATGCTTCTTGCGCACCCCCTGCTCGGGGACTGGCCCACAACCCAGGCGTCTGCCCTGACTGGGGATTGAGCCAGCGACCCTTTGCTTTGCGGTCCGGTGCTCAACCCACTGAGCCACACCAGCCAGGGCTAAAATTCACGTGACTTTTACATATTGCCTCCGCTGCACGTGAATGCCACTCAGCACGGCCTCTGAGTGGGAGGGCTGTGATGGAGCAGCAGCAGGTACAGCCCTCTGGAGACTAAGGGCCAACCTTGACCTCGCAGCCCGGACTCACCCAGGCCTCACCCGTTCCGCCACCCTAGTCCTTACTCCGCTCTGTGTCCTCCTCTCCAGAACCACTATTGCTGCCCAGGGCTAGGCCTCACCCTCTCCCCTCACCTTCCCACCCACCCAGCCTGTGTTAGCACTCGCCCGCTCCGTCCTCCCTGCCGCACCCGTTGTTCAAATACTCAAGCGCTTCCTCACCAACTGCCAAATGTTGCTTTAAGCACCCAGCACCCCGCCTGACTGCCCAGGACCACCTGAAGACCCCCGCCGCCCAAGACCCAGCAACTGCAGGGAGCCACCTGGCAGGGCAGGGAGCCTGCGGACCTCCTCCTGCACCATGCGGGCCCTTGGCCTCCAAAGGGCTGCGTCCGCTGCTGCTGCATCGCTACCCCGCAGCAAAGAGGCCGTTCTGGTAGCTGTTGTTGCTGTTTAACAAATCACCCCAATCATAGGAGGTGAAAGTAGCAATTGGGTTGTGCTCACAGGTTTAATGGGCCAAGCATTTCGCATGGAATCTGACACACTGGGCCTCTGCTCCACGGTGTCCAGGGTCTGGGCCGGGAGGGCCCCCAGGCTGGGGCACAAGGGTTGTCCGCGCATGCGCTGGGCCCCGGGCTGGGGCGACTGAGGCTGTGAACGTCAAGCACCGTGCCTGCTGGCGGGTCTGTTCGTAGCTTCGGCGTCCCCCTCGCGTGGTGGCCTCAGAGCCGTCAGGCGGCTTTCTGATGGCTTTCAGGGTCAGTGTCCCAGCGGAGGAGGCAGAAACTGAATCGCCTTTTGCGACCGAGCCTCAGAAGTCACACAGTGGCCGTTGTGTTGCTCCACCCCGGCTGAAGTAGTCACGCTTTCCCCCATTCAAGGGGAGAGCAGCAAGATGGGGCTGGGGAAGATGGGGGGATTGGAGACACCGTCGCAGCCACCTGTGGAATGCGTCACAGTGGCTGAAAACAAAACCATGATCCTGGTGGTTGGAATTAGGCCTGGGCCCTGCTGGGTACTTCTGGGTGTGGCTGGTGTCTGTGCTCAGCTGGAGGTCAGCGAGGTAGCTCTGCCTCCGGTGCTTGGAGCTGCGGCGATGGGGGTGACGGGCACGTGTCTCTTGTCCTCCCGCAGGCTAGTCCGGGCTTCTCCACGTAGCAGTGGGCAGAGAGGGAAAGTGCGCTGGTGTCTTTAGGCACAGCCTCAGAAATGCACGCCCTCGCTTCTGTCACATTGTTGGCCAAGGCAAGACAAAAGGCCAGCCCAAGTTCAACGATTGCGCAATAGACCCTACCTCTTGACCAGAGGCGCCGCAGAGCATGGGGCAAGGGAGGATGAGTTTCTGGCCGCACTGGCATTCCCCCCTGTAGTCTTGTTTGCAGACCCCTCTCCTGTTTGTCCAGGCCTCTCTTCCCAGGGGGTTCACAGAGTCTAGTCCTTGGCCTGTGGAAAGCCGTGAGTCCTGGTGATGAGTTGCAAAGTTATCAGAAGTATAAGCTCCTTTATGTCAGGTTGTGCCTGACTGCAAATAAAGGAAAACCTAATAGGAGCTTAAACTGTCAGGATTAAGAAGTCTGGAGGCAGCCAGCCTGTGAGGGGTTGTTAAGAACCCAGTCTTTTTCTCTCCTCTCAGCAGTCTTCCTTTGCCGAGGACCTGATCAGCTTCAAGTTTGTTGTCTCATAGTTACAAAATGGCTGCCACAGCCCTGGTTGTCTCAACTGTATTCAAAGCTGGAAGCATGCAGCAAAATACTTTTTCTCTTGAGAAAAGTTCTGTCTTTACATTCTGGAAGAGAAAACTTTCCCTGCTATAGTCTTCCCCAAAAGTCTCATTGAGCTGAACCCAGATCTATACATTTTGGCTTTTACTATATGCAGAATACTATGGCTAACCCAGCTGCAAGGAAGCCTGGGATTGTGAGTGGCTGATAAAGGGGGTAGGCATGCCACTTGCTTAGTCTAATTATTTTAAAGCTACTTTGACCACAGTAGGAAATATGTACCCATACAAACAAGCGTAATTGAAACCAGTGTTAAAAAGAGATACTTAATGCTGAACATGTGTGCGCCTTTTAATTTTTCTATTCTCTCCCATTCTATTTTATACTCTGTACAATTTAATTAAAAAAAAAATCCTGGTCACGACCTGCTAATTTGATTTCGCAGCCCTCAAAGGCATGCCCCATTGTTTGAGAAAGACGGACTCAGAACAGCCTTCGTTTACATCTTGGAGTTGGCAGGTGCTACCCTGAGCGCAGGAGGCTTCTGGGAGGAGGGCAAGGAGGGCTGGGGAACCGTGTTTAGAAAAGTAGTAGCCAGACTTTGCCACTCACCTTCTTGTCCTGCCAGTTCCCATCAGGCCATGATGCAGCTCTGTCAACTTTCGTTTTTTATGACTTGCAAATAACTCCGGGGGTTACTGAAGTTCCAACAGGGAAATTAACATTTGCCTGTGTCTGGCGTTGATGGGGCCTTCGGATTCCTCTCCTGCTAAGCTGTCTGGCTTCTGCACGGCTCCCGATGACAACGCAAAACTCCGATCGCATTACAAGTGCCGGAGGAATTCACACGCGTTTCTGGAAGGACACTTTGTCATTGTTGCGTCATGGCTGTTCTCTTGAGCTGCCTGTGGTTTCCAGGCCTGGCTTTTCCTGCTTTTTATAGCAGGTGGTGAGGAATGAGGTTCTTCAGAATCACAGGGTCTGAGTTTGAATTCTGCCCCCATAGTGTGGTTTGAGGCAAGTGCGCGGACCCCCCTGTTTCCTGAGCTCTGTTTCCTGTGCAGTTGGCGTTCCGCCCACCTCTCCAGAGCTCGGGAGGGGTCAGCGGGCGTGGAGTTAGCACCAGGCCTGAGCCCGAGGAAGCGCTGGGGCCAAGCAGGCTGTGCGTCTGTCAGCTTTGGCTGAGCGGCGTGCAGTACCAAGTGAGCCACAGATCTCAGCGGCATTACAGTTGTAAAATCATCTCGTTCTCCCCCGCATGTGTGCTCTTCGTAGGTCGGCCACGCCTCTGTCCCTGGGTCCACTCCATTCTGGGACTCAGGCGGGAGCCATGTGATGGCTCTTAAAGCATCTGCTCCCATGTGAACAATTTTGGGTTGGCAACTGTGCGCAGGAGTTGTGACTCCCAGAAGTCGCTTTTTCAGAAGCTTTTGATATGTGGGTCTCAAGGCGAGGGGCTCCTAGTGCCGCCCCTGGTTGAGAACTGCGGGGCGTGCTCCCCAAGGTCGAGGGCTGCATCGCTGCGGCACCCTCAGCTCCCCCCGTGCTGGACACAGAATGGGCGCTTCACCAATGCCTTTG